TGTTTTGACCCCTGTTTTCGGGGAGAACCCAAATTAGCTTCATTTGGGGACTTGAGATAAATGGATTAGCATTATTAATCCTTGATTTGAGATTGAAAACCCTTAGAATGATAATTTGAAACATAAAAATGGATTAGGACACACTAATTGGAAACCTTGGTATCTAATTGAGATTGGATTGCTTTAGGAATGAGAATTAATCTTAAAGTGTTGTCTTGCATCAGTGATCGCTGAGGATTCAGACTGAAGGGGCTTGAGGAAGCGGAAGCCGGAAAAGACAACGCTAGTCCCATGTTTGATAGTGCGAGGTAGGATTTCTATCCCTTTTCCTTATGAGCCTGTTTTCAAAAAGGATTTCGGCCTTGGAAATGTTTTAAAGAAAGGGGTTGGTTTGCGAAAGAAAAACTCTTTGAAAACCATGGCTTGTCCTATCCATGGAATTCATAGCTTGTCCAGTCATGGAACCTCATGGCTTACCCAGTCATGGGGCCCGTGAGTAGTGTAGTTCGTGGGGTCATATTAACGATTTCAGAAAAGTTAATGAATGATTTCTTAAGCAAAGAGATCTTGTGGTAAGAGAGGAGAGTCTATTTCTGTAAGCCTAGATAGGATGCGGATAGTACATCCTCGGGGGCAGAACCCAAAACTCGGTCCGGGTAGGCGAGGCACTTGGTTAGGTAAGTAATTTGTACTAATTACTTGCTAAAGCCTGTAATACGATTATTTTCAGTTATATTTCCTTTGAGAAAAAGGATGTGAGGTTCCGGCTGTCTGTTGGAACTGAATGTCTATTTATTCATTTATCCATTTATTTATTTACTCGCACATTTACCTTTAAGTCACTTCAAATTATATCCTACTGGGCCTTTCGCTCACGTTTTATGTTTTAAATGTGTTAACCCCCCTCCTAGGAGATTCTAGGAGCGGTGCACAGTAGCTGGGTATTTGCTACGGAGCAGCTGAGTTGTGCTGCTGTTAGAATCAAGTAAGGATTGTGATCATCCTCTAGAATATAAATTGTAAGGAATTTGAGAATTCTGTAAATTCTAGAAATATTTAGATTAACTAGACTGTGGTTGATGTCTGTTGTAATTGATTATTTACATGTTCATGTATGTACGATACTGTATGTCCTGTGGGTGGAGCCCTATGTGTTGTCAGAGGTTCGGGATTCTGTAATTTATTTATATTTTAATTCAGTCGAGTGGGGCTCTCTGGAAACTTGCTTTATTAATTCATAATCGAGCTCCACGTCACCCACCCCGTTTGGGGGGCGTGACACCTTAACATCTTTAGTAAGTGACAGTTTAATTCTTATTTTTTCTAATTTTAAAAAAATGACCATAAACTTTTTAAACTGGTTCAATTAAAACTTTTCTGTTAAGATCCATCCAAATAATATCAGGAGAAGTCACATGACGCCTACGTGACCTATTAACTATGTGTAAAAACACAACCTTAGTCGAATTAGAGGTGATGTTTACGTGATGAAAATAAGAAATTAGGTTGAATATTGGGTAATTTCTGTGCTAAATGTAATTTCTCTACTAAGTGAAGAGAGGTTGAGCAAGGCCGTGATGGCGTACTCTTGCGTCTAGGGATCACTACACCAAAAGAGAGGAATCAAAGCAGAAAGGAACTGGACTCACCAACCAACGCAAGGAGCCTAAGCTTCGCCGTCATCGCCGATCGAAGACGATTGCTGTGACGCGTTCTCGACGGCGTTGAACTCTGCCGGTAAGTTCTGCCTTTGTTTACTTATCCGTCAGCCTCAGATGCTAGGGTTTCCGCTGGACGAGAGCAAAGTTCTCTCCCTGTCTTCCCTTGCCCTCAGAGGAATCCGCCTCTACAGGTGATTTGCTCCGGTTCTTGAACTAACCCTCTTCCTTTTCTTGAGTTCCTAAAAACAAGTACTTGAACATGATTTTGTAAAAAAACTTACAAGTCGTATTTAGAACTGATCCTGTTTTTATTTTTTACGTTTTTTGAGAAAGAAAAAATAAAAATATTTTTAAAATAGTGTTTGGCGCAATAAAAATAAAAAATGAAAATGAAAATAATTTTTTAATTTAGTGTAAAATGAGAGAAATAAAAAATGACTTTTAGTTGTTTTTTCATTTTTATTTTCTCCTCTCTCAAGCAGAGAGAGAAAGAAAAACATTAATAGATTGTTTTACACTAAAAACAATCTCTTAATAAAAGTACTAAATGCATTTTCAAAAATAATTTATGTCTGAGATTAAAAACGTTTTCATTTTCATTTTCATACAAAAAATAAAATCATTTTAGAACTAATTTCAAATGCGCCCATCATTTCTTGCTCTTTTTATGATTTTTCTTGGTTTTTTCTTTTCTTTGTGGAATGATAACTTGAAATTTGTTATTCAATAGAGAATGATTTTGGAGCATTATCTCCTGATTCAGATATTTCAAACCCTCATGATTTTAGTATATTTTCTTGGCTAATTATCTTTCAACATTAAGAAATACTCACGGGCTGGAGACGTCGGAGATTTTCGTTTGAGATTTTATTAGAAAATCTCATCGTGAAAGTAGTGGGGGAGAAAAGGAAGCCGGAGGTTGAAGAAGATGATGAACTAGTGGATTGTGGATTTAAAAGTCTGGTTTTCTTTTTGAAACCCTAAAGGCTTGTTCAGTTGTATTTTTAAGTTATGGTGATTTGAGTGTAGATTTTGAGTTGAATTTGAGTTATAACTTGAGTTGAAGTTGTAACTTGAGTTTGTGTTTGGTTGTGTACATTTGAGTTATGGTTTGAGATAAGAATCTTTTTGAGTTTGTATTTGGATGGGTCAAAATTTGAGTTTGTATTTAGAT